AAGAGCAACAACCTAGTGCTATTAATTAGCAATGCTTATGCTTTTGAGTCAGTCAAGTTGCTGCTACACTTGTTTTCCAAAACATTGAGCCTTTTAATTCTCATTAAAACGAGGAATAAGTTAGAAAAAATACAGCTCGGTCATCCCACGGCCAGCATGTAGTGTGCGGCGCTGATGCCTGCGTGACCTGGTCTGCAGTTCAAACCTGTAGTTACGTGCTGGTCCTTTCCTTAGCGAAACCACAAATGCTGCTGAACGTTTTGGTATTTCTGTAATGTGAATAAACTTGGCCAGTTGGGCGCTTTATCCCTCTGCAGCGCGTGGGCTACTATTTTAGCATTTTCTCTGCATAATGCTGATGATACCTGGTGCTGCAGGAGCACTCTGCCCTGTGGCTGGGGCTACCACGCGTGGCCACCAGCAGCTCTGTGGGTCGAGCCGGTGCTCCCCTTGTCTGTGGAAGGGGACGGCGTGCAGATCCTCAAGGGCCAGGTTTGAGGCTAAGGGTGAAGCCAAGCACCGTGGTGATGGTGCCTAACTCTTGCAAATCAGTCTCCAAAAAGAGACTTTAGCACCAAAAAATGGAAACAGAGGCTACACAGTTTCCATAGTAAATTCAGATGCTCTGTCGACTCAAAACCTAATTTGAAACTGCTTTTCTATGGAGACTTCTGGGGGACAAAGGTAAGAAGGTTACAACCGGCAAGCCAGCCGGTCATAGCAAATGGCACAAAATTTATTCAATTTTGAACAGGGCAGCAAAGTGCAACCCACAGCTTTTACCTTGAGTTACGGAGGAGTTTGGCTCTCAGCGATGAAGCCGTATGTACAGTCGCTCTCTTTTCTCGGGGGTGGCACATGAAGTGCAAAGCTGAGATGCCCACACTAGCATCCTGCTTTCCTCTGGCTGCTCGCGGCCAGAAGATAATGCTGCTATGTGAGAAACAGCGTTTTCCTGCCCTGTGCTGCACCACTGCTCTCGCTGTCACACTCAGATGGGTGAAATCATCTCCTTGGGATGAGGCTAAATCTCGACGTGTCCCGGTACGCAGCGCCGTTACCGAGTCATCTGGCCCCATGCTTCAGAGACGCTGTCGGGGCTGCCAGTTTGGGCGGCACTGGGCTTTGTTTCATAGGTTAAAAATATGTGTATTTCCTTGATGCACTGTTGGTTTTGTTTTTAACTCTTAAGCAATTTAATATTTTGTAGGTCTGCTAGTATTTCTCCCAGTTTTCCATCTGCTACCGTGATTAATATAAGTTCTAGCTTTATAATGCCAACCCAGAGCAAATGGAATGGAAACCTTACCTATATTATTTGGCATGTAGCAGTAGACATGAATAACTTCGGAATTTGTGGGGAAAAAGAGAAGTTATGTGTTTTTGAAGCCAAAATATGATTGGAAACCAGCCCTCGCAGACAGCACGATGCCGTGTAGGATCTAGCTGCAGTTACTTTTGAGTGCAGTGCTCCAGATTTGTGTTTGTAGGTGTTTCTGAGGGGTCAGAAACCTCACTTGGAGGCTGTAAAGCAGCGGTGCGCACCGATTTCCTATTGCCTCGCAGACATCAAGGCAGAATGATGTGCCACGGGTTTGCTTTTTTTCCTCTCTTCAGTGGTGTGATGTAGTGGAAATTTGCAGTATAGTGAGGAAGGTGGGACTAATTTCCTAAGGCTGTGGATCTGTGGGAGGAGGGAGTGGAGCAGAGCTGCAGAGCTCACCTGGGCACAGATCCTTGGCCTGGACTGGTGGGCATCAGCGTTTTACTCGGGGCTGTGTGACCTGGGGTAATGACAGGGTGCAAGAGGCAAAAGCCCAAACACAGGGAGGTTGTATCATGGCTGCTATGCGGTCCAGCATGGGAGCTGTGGCATGGCCCTGGCAGCCTCTCAGTTCGTGCCACCGTGCAGCTTGTCGGACTCATGACACTGACTCGAGTTAAAAATAGCTTCACCAGAAACGGTTATTTTTAATCTAGATCGCGTTCAGTATGAGCCATGCAGGCGTGCGTGCGGGGCCAGCTGGGGATGGGGATGCAGAGCAGTGGGGTACAAGATAGTGGGGCTGCTTCAACTGCTGTTGCCACTAAAAGAAATGGTCTTTTATGGCCCAAGATGGGATCCTTATGGAAGATGGGTATCCAGTATAAAGCTGCAGTTCTTCTTCCTGAGCTGATCGAAGTCTGCTCTGCTGGCAGAGGGCCTCCAGCTGCATAAGTGCTGGTGGTGACACGGGGGGGACGGTAAGGGACGACCTGGCTGGGGACACAGGCAGGAGAGGAGACAGTGGGGCCATCCCTCCTGGCAACAGCAGGGATTTAGATTGTATCAGGAGTGGAACAGTTACGCTATCAAAAGCCTTCAAAGCGTGAACTCTAATTAGGGTAAAGATGGAAAGAGAAATCACAGGTCATAGACCTGTAGTTAACTAAAAAATGTTGGTATGTGTGAAGTGCATAGTCTTATAGTCATAGTAAGAGCTGGAAGTGGCCAGGAGACATTTGTGAGTCATTTCATGGATCCACAGAGAACAAGAAATCCAGACTACTAAAGCATCTGGTTAGTTATGACTAGAATCAAAACTATTGCAACCAGTAAGGTCAAGCCAGCCAATTCAGTAGCCTCCTTTGCCATAGTTACTGATGCAACAGCTAAAGCTTATGCAATTAGATACAGTACACTTGGATTTCAGAAGGCCAATTGGTATAGTGCCATGCACAAACATAAAGAAAACATATTGCTTCCCATTTAAGTAAAAATATCATGGTTTAGAAACTAGTTTTTCAGCAGGGAACGGTTGTTAACAGTAAGACCAGCTGAAGAACAGCATTAGTCCAGGTTTTAGAGAAGGTATGATCTACACTTGCGTTATTTTGTACAGAAACAAGCATTATTTGGTCCAGCCACTGACAGCCTTGATGAAGGTGTACGTTGAGCGGGGTCAGATGTGCTGGGGCACCAGCCTGGAGGCTGCAGGAGAGCCGAGCCGAAGGACAGGGAGCTCTGGGGGATCAGGAGATCCCATTCAGCAGCGGAGAAATAAGGCTGCACGACAAGCAGAGAGCCTCAGGTTGTGAGTGAGAACATCTTGTGATGGTTTCTGGTAAATGAGTGCAATTTGATCCAGTTGCTAAGAAAGCCATTCAAACTGATTTATGTATAAAACATAAAAGTTAATGTCAAACTGAGTCTGCCAGCGTGGAAAGCCCTGGTCCAAGTGCATTCCCTCCTGGTCCAAGTGCATTCCCTCCTTACCGCGTGAGTGATGAGGCCAGAGGGGCAGCAGACAGCAGAAGTAGTAGTTTCCTTCCCACTTCCCTCCAGAAGAGACGAAGGAAGGGGCTAGAGCGGCTGCTGGGGTGACCTGCTGTGGTTTGCCTCAGCGGAGGGTCCTGTCCATAGCATGGTAATGGACTCGCACACAAGCAGGTTTCAAAACTGCTTTAAATCTCTTACTGAGAAGTGAGTAGGTGCAAACCATCCACTGCTTACACGCAGGGATTTGAACCTGGTTGCACACAATGTATTCATAAATAATTTTACCTGTCAGACCAGGGCAGGGGGTATCTGAAGTGAATTGCAGTAATTGTTGAAATACATGAAATGGTTGTGTGCAGCAAAACGACGTGGAGCAAAGGAGTTCGCATTTCAGAATGAGATCAGATTTAATTCATTTCAAAATGAGATCACCGGAACCTGCTGCCTGGGTCTTGTTTTCCCTGTTTCAGGCTTTCATCCGTGCTGAACTCTTGCCATGACTGAATTCTGCAAAGATTTCCAGGCAAGTTTCTTGTCTGAGCACCAGCCTGGTTGGGTAAGCTGATGAGCTATAAGAAGATCAGAGTTTGACAAGGGGTGTATTGCAGGTAAACAGTGAAGCTGAGATTTAGCGTAGCTATGAAATATGTTTGCATCCTCAGAAGTAAGGAATGGTGCTTGAAGAAGCCCCAGGAAAAATACCAAGAAGTGCATTAAAATGATAAGTAGAACCGATAAGGCACATGGTGAGAGACTGAGAGGAGAATCAAGCACAGATATGATCACAGCCTATAAATACTGTCAACATGACAGCACAGATGAGCAAAAGGAAGAGTATTTGTTATCTGATGGAAAACAAGCTTTAGGAAGAGCAGTCATCACAGCAGCAGGGCGGTGGAGGGGATCCCCAAGAGCGGGTGACGCTCGTCAGCCAGGATGGAGGGAGATAAGGTCTTGTGGGATGATAGCAAATATATCTACAACGTGCAGACAGTGAGATCGGCTGGAGACCCGCGCTGTCCTCGCTTCCCTCGGTGGTCCTGCATGGACCAGGAGGTACAGGTGCACCAGAGGGGGTCCCTTGGGGGTCTGCAGTACTCCTGGTAAGGAGAGGCATTTGCTGTCACACCGAAGATGTGGAAGGATGGTGTTTGGGCCATGCGTCACTGTTCCTGCCTGTGCTCCCGTGCTTTCAGGGAGGGTGCTGGCAGGGTGCGGTGGTGGGAGGGGAGGTGGTGGCTGCATCTTGCCAGCACGCTGGGGGATGCCCTCGGGCGAGGGAGACCCCTGTGCCGAGCCTCATGGGGGCTGCTCCCTCCAGGCGTGGGGAAGGCAGATGGCTGCCGCAGCCTCCGCTCCTCCGCCCTGCCTCCTCACAGCTATCGCTGCCCGCAGGCAGGAATGCCACATCTGCTCCTGGATCACGCCCGAGCCCTCCTGGTTTCCAGCCCGGGCTGCACAAGTAAACCCAGGGAGATGGAAACTTGAAACTGTGGCCATGAGGGAGCTGGGTCAGGAGCAGCCCGGCCCTGCGCCTGCCTCCCCGCTGAGCTGGGCTGAGCTGAGCTGGGCTGGGAGCAGGCTGACAGTGAGCTTGGCATATGAGTTAGCAGGGCAACCAAGGCATGAAGGCCCTGGGGAGGTGTAGGGGAAGGTAGTCCTGCGTTGTACCCGAGTGCTGGAACACGAGCAAGGAAAGCCTTGTCTTTGCGATGGGGACATAGCACTCAGCCAGCCAGAAATGGTGTTGGAAAGCTTTGCCATTGACAGCCAGCCGCTGCCAGTTAACCTCTTGGCTCTCCTTCAAAGCCCCTCATCCCCCAAAGCTCGCCTGGTTGTTGCGGTGCCCGTCAGCGTGGTCGGCACTGTACGCGCCGTGGCACAGGGATTGCCCTTGGCACCTGCGGTCCCCGTCCGGGGCTAGGACCTGGTATCATCAGAGCAGGGGTCCCTGTGCTGCTGCCTGCGGGTCTCTTCTGTACCTGGAGCTGAGTGGGTTTCTGATGATGTACTTTAAAAATACCAATTCCTGATGCATGACAACTCAACATACGCCTTGAAATTCTTTAATTATCACTCCATCTCGTACGCAATACGTCCTGTGTGGCTGCTGTGGTTGTATTATCACCCTGGGTCTCAGTCAGCCTTTTCTAGGACTCACTTAAATTTTGGTTTTATAGCGTGCCTGCCATTCAGGGTAAGCAGATTGGGGGGGTCAGCAGGCTGGGCTGATCGTAACAGATGCTCTTGATGGTGTTTGTGGCAGCTGTGTGTCCCTCCTCTTCTGTTACCTGGGAGGGGGTTTGTGCGAGGAAATGGAGGAGGTCTGGGCCCCAGGCTGTGCAAGTCTGGCTCTAGCAGAGTATGGGTCCGGGGGTGTTTCTGAGGATCCCCAGGACAGCCTGCTTTTAATAAATTTGTAAAACTGCCTATTGCACAGGTTGTGAAGGTGCGTGCTTCTAGAGCAGAGTGTTTCAGTACCTAAACACCCATTTATTGATTACTGCTTCACTGCAGGCTTATTTTAACAGCCTTTGGTTCTGGCCTATTTTTGTGCCTCCTGCAGCCTTTTTAAAATTAAACGTGGAAGGGTAGAGCCTGCCGGCGCTGGAGATGTGCGCACCACCGGCCTGACCTGCCTGCGGTATGCAGTGCCGCAGAGCCCGGCCGGCGCTTCACTCCCGTCCCAGCAGTGGTCTGGGATGGACCACCAGAGTCTTGTGGTTCTGAAGGGTTAATTGGGGATAACTTGGCCGCACTGGGAATGCGAGCTGGAGACCGAGAGGTGCTGGAGACCAATAGGTGCTTAGCGGGTTTTTCATTCAGCCACTTCACTTTGCTGCGCGCCGCTGGGCTGATAGGGAGGCTCTGCAGACTCGGTGTTTGCGAAGCTCTCGAGGCGTTCCTGGGTACTCTGGGAGGTTAAGCACGACAGTTATGCTGCGCATTTAGAGACACGACTCTGAGGGAAACTGCCTTGGGAGCGAGTAGCCAGCCTGTGCCGCCCTACCCCAGACAACCGCCCATGGAAGGATATCTCAACTGACATCAAAGGAGCCAGCAAATGATAGGCATCATCTAATTGCCGCCTCTCCCTGCCTTCTGACTCGGTACTGCAGGTTGTCATTCACAGTCTCAGGATCGTTATCTTTGCGTGTGCGAGTAGCACAACGTCACTGGGCAGCAGCAATCCTACCTCCGGGATCTGTATTATCCAGATAAGGTTGCATGCGGTGACATTTAAAAACCTGAATAGTGTCCCGCTGTTGAAATAAAATGAAATGGCATTTCAAGATCTTGTTTGGAGAGAACTGGCCTTCTGCAGTCCCCAGCCCGCAGCTGGAGTGTGCGTTTCCCTTATGAGTGTGGGCAGGCGAAGGGAAGAGGGGGTGTGGTGCACCACAGGGACCCGTCTGGGGTGGAAGGTGGCTGCCGTGCCGTGGCAGCACGGGGAAGCCCCGTCCTCTCCTCCGGATGGAGGTGGCTGGTCCTGAGCTCTAGTCGCTCACCTCCTCCTCCGTCCCAGCGTCGCCCAGCACCGAGCCCTGCCCTTCAGTACCTTGCGATTCACTGGTGCTTTTGGGGCCAAAGATGACATTTAGAGGGAATGTTTCTGAATAACCCTGTCAATGGGAATTCACATAAAACAATTAAAGCAACCACAGCCATGTTGCCTTGGTTTGTCTGACTCTGCCTGAGCCCAAGCCCTCTGTGGTCCTTCACGTTTGCTTTCTCTTTCTCCGCAGAATGCGATGAACTTGCCACCTGACAAAGCCCGGTTGCTGCGGCAGTACGACAACGAGAAGAAGTGGGAGCTCATCTGTGACCAGGTAAGGGTGGCCGGGGGGGTTTTTGGCAGACATCCCATTGAGAGCACAAACTGAGTTTCATCAGCAATGTCCCCGGGCTTAGAAAGGGACCTTGCAGAGGGACAAGTATTTGAATGGATTCAAACACTCATTTCTTTGGCCTTATGCACCTTTATTGGTAACAACTCATAGAAGCCTTGTAACAATAATTCCCTTTTTTGCCACAGAGCGATATTTCTTTCCCCTCTGATGTTACCATCACCCCTGTGCCTGTTTCCTCTGGGCAGTGAATGCTGCTTATTTTGCCCGGCACAGACTCGAAGAGACTGACCTTCAGTCACCTCTCGGCGAGTGCTTTGAGTTTGGTCTGTCTTGACCTACGTAACATGAACGAATGATCTTGATCCAGTGAGTATTTGGCTTTCCACATCACAAGCCGTTGTTGCAGCTGGCAGTAGCTGTCGCCTTCAGGGAGAGGCGAATGGTGATGCAGCTTGAACTCCTCTTTGCCTCAACAACAACCTCGGATTAAGTAGCACCATATGCTGAAGCATCTTTTGTGTATGAGCTCTGTTGTGGCGTGTAGACTTGGCAGCAATATAGAACAATTAACAGGTTGGCTCTGCGGTGACAAATGAACAGAAACGGCATTATTTAGAGAAAGTGAAGCATGCAAAAGGTAGGATGTGCATTTGTGAGCCAACAGCAAAATAAACTTCAAAAGTAATCGCTAATGAAAATAATTGATCCAGGACTGAGAAAGTAGGATGTTTCCTTGAAATGTAACCACAGCAGTACCAGGATGAGAGTTTGGCAGAAGTTTGGCATGACTGTACCAGTCATGCTATGAGGTCAGGAACATTTTAATAAGTAGATTTCTGGGACGTTTCCTATTTAGCTATTACAGTGGCAGAGCCTCTGATAAAATCCAACTACCTTAAAGTAAAGCTGAATAAAGAATTACTTGCTTTTTTCCATGAGTTTTCTGTGCAGAAAACCTAAAGCATTGAGCTATTTAAAGTTTCAGTTTAGTGAGACACTGAACAAATTGCTTAATCTACTGTAAGTGATTTTTTTCATGGATGTTTGCTTAGAGCATACACACTCGGAGCATGCACATGGAAGTGTGAGCTTTGTGCTGGAGTCTGTGTGCTCTGTTTGCACCGAGTTGGCAGCAGGGCAGGCAGAAGCAGTTAGATCACAGCCTCGATGTGCAAGCTCCCACCTCAGAGTGGATCCACCCTTTGCAACGTGCAGCTGCTGCTGATTCACTCCTGAACTCTACAGCAAGATAGGAGGGATGAGCAGTGAAGGAAATTTGCAGTCTGGAGTAATCGCGTATCTTAATAGCTCCTTGCACAACACTGAGTCCACCCCTGGGTTGGGATGAGTCTGCTTCCCATTGCTTGGAGAGGGTAGGCAGAGAAGCAGCGCAGGACTGTTGTAACCAGCACTGTGGAGCCCAGCACTGCGAGGATCCCGAAGGGACGGGAGGTGACAGCGTGCCACCCTTCCAGGGTTTGGCCATCCGAGGGGACGTGCTTGGGCAATGAGGGGCTGCGTATCTGCGATCTGTCGCAGCTCCCTGGCTGCCCTGGCATCCCTGGTGGGTGACTGCCAGCCGCTGTAAATTAGAGTGGCGTGAAGCAGGTGTGTCTGTAAAAGCACCATAATACAGCATATGGGGTGTGAAATATTTATATCTGTCCACATAATAATGGTGTGTGGCTGAAAGTACTTCCAGGAATAGATTTTGTACAGAATGTATGTTTTTAGTGTGGATGCATATTTTGACTGCTATTTTCTATTAGTATCACTCATTACACCATTTTCGCCTGTTTTTGCTTAGTGAAGGACTGAGGATGTAAATTAATGTAACAGTGTGAGGAAATTAACTCTTACCCTCCTGTGCTGGCTTTCAGCTTATGTCTGAAAGGAAAAAGGGTCCAGAGGTTGCTCTTAAATGGTGTTTTCTAAATAGTCTGTAAAGCAGACCCTGGTCATTTGTCTGTGAAATATGTTGAGAATACTAGGGGAGAGAGTTCGGCCTCCAAAAGGAACTCTCACTTCTGTGGAAGTGAGATTAATGAAAGTGAGGAGCTCCCAGTCTCATAGTAGTAGTAATAATAACAACAATAATAATAATAATAAATCTGCCGTGAGTAGGATTGTGCATGTTGTAGTGAATGGTTGTAAGGGTTGCTGGGCTGGCTGTGGGGGACTTGTCCTGTGTGGTATTTTCTGTTCCTTTGTCTATGAACCTCCGAAGTCATCTAAGCGTTGCTGCTGGTGTCCTGAAACCTTGTTCCCTACCTCTCTGGCTTGTGAAAAAGGAGGAGGAGAAGAGCAAAGCCAATAAACCTGTTGCCCATCCTGGAGAGGGCCAAAATGGTGGTCATCTGGGGGGTGAGCATTGGGAAGGATCCAGGCAGGGAAGAGGGGATACCATTTCCTGGCATGGCGAGCTACCCTGTTGGCTTCTCGACTTCCCGGAGAGCTACGTTTGGTGTACTCTGGGCCTCTTTATCCGGCCGCATGCCATGAGGTAGAATCATAGAATCATTAAGGTTGGAAAAGACCTCTAAGATCATTGAGTCCAACCACCGACCCAACACCCCCATGCCCACTAAACCATGTCCCTAAGTGCCTCATCTACTCGTCTTTTAAATACCTCCAGGGATGGGGACTCCACCACTTCCCTGGGCAGCGTGTTCCAATGTTTAACCACTCTTTCAGTAAAGAAATTTTTCCTCACGTCCAATCTAAACCTCCCCTGGCACAAGTTGAGGCCGTTTCCTCTCGTCCTATTGCTGGTTACTTGGGAGAAGAGACCGACCCCCCCCTCGCTACACTAAACAGCCTCAGTTCCCTCAGCCGCTCCTCATAAGACTTGTGCTCCAGACCCTTCACCAGCCTCGTTGCCCTTCTCTGGACACGCTCCAGCACCTCAATGTCCTTCTTGTAGTGAGGGGCCCAAAACTGAACACAGTATTCGAGGTGCGGCCTCACCAGGGCCGAGTACAGGGGCACGATCACTCCCCTACTCCTGCTGGCCACACTATTTCTGATACAGGCCAGGATGCCCTTGGCCTTCTTGGCCGCCTGGGCACACTGCCGGCTCATGTTCAGGTGCTACAGAGGGGGCACCGATGTTGAGGGAAGAGGTTGGGGACATCTTACAAAGTTCTTCGTTGCCCTCTAATGGCAAATCGTGGCAGGGGCATCACCATGTCCTCACCTTTGGAGACACTGGAGGTGTGCGTGGGGAATAATGAATTAAGAGGCCTAAGGTGAAAGTTGTGCCGTTTACATCCAAACTATGCTCACTGAGGTATTTGTAGTACTCTCTCCCTTTCCTAATGAAACTCCTAATGAAGGCAGGTGTGGGCTGGTTCGGAGGCTGGTGGCCAGCGTGGAGCTCACTGGGATGGCGGTGGATTTCTCCAGCAGCCTCCTGGGTGGGGGGGCCTTGTGCCACCCCTCAGCTTTGCTTCCAGGGGGCTCGGGCCCCTCTGTGCCGGTGTCGGGGGTAATTGCACCTAAAACAAGGCCACGTGTGGTGCGTTGGTGGGGCGCCATATTCCACTTTAGGGTTTATTTGTGACTAAAAATGTGCAGGTATGGGCCCTGTTGGAAACAGGGCTCCAGGTGAGAAGGTTGTGCAGTGACAGTCCCTGAGTCCTCCAGCTCTCTGGGTGAAACCCCGGCGCTGCCAAGACCAGGGTGGCCTTCCCCTGGGAGGGGAGGGCTACCTGGGCTCGCTGCCTGGCTGAGCATCATGGTGGGGGGGGAGCCTGGGCACAGAAATCTGGTGTTGTGAGATTAGGCTATCAAAAATAGACAGCGTTCAAGATAGCTTGGAGAAGGATAACATCTGAAACCACAGAGGGTCCGTCGGACTTGTGTTCATTTACACTTAGGTTCAACAAGCGTTGACTGTAGTGGTTAGATCCTTCTCTAAACGAGGCAAAAATGTTAATTATGAAGCTCTCTGTTACATCGTAAAAGAGGTTAGTGCACACTAGCGTGTGCCACACACCTGCATGCCCTTTAAGCCAGGCTTGCTTCTGCGCCCCTTCCTCCTCTGCCACTGTTCATCGAGCTCTTGAAAGGTAAAATGGCGTGCAGCCTTCCCAGCCTTCCCCTCCATAAACCAGGTCTGGGGAGAGGCAGGTTCTTGATATTATTTTTATCTTTATTTTTGTTTTTTTTTGTGAGATTGTGCCCTATGGACTGGTTGAGAGTGTAACCGCACAGAGCCGCAGTGGTCCATGCCTGCCATTTTAAAGTCCAGAGCACCGGGGACTGCTGACAAATACCTAGGTGTCCTTTGGATTCGGGCTGGGAGTTGCTTTAAAGGCAAGCTGGGCCATGTCCAGGCTGCAGGCAGTGGAGTGGCGCTGGCAGCCCTCCTGCGTGCTGCCCGCGGGTCTCGGGTAGATCGCTGATGAAGAAGGGGACAGGCGGTGACTGCCGGATGGGACTGAGCGAGGATCAGGGTTTCACGGGGATGCTGTGCTGTTTGTTGTTTGACCCAAATATCTCAGGTGAGCCCCAAACCTCTCCTCAGAAATGTGATGAAGGGACGGTGATTCAAAAGTGGCACCTCACACTGTGTGTTACCATATGGTGCCATTAACCCTTTTGCAGCAGAGATCTGGATTTTTCTGACAACATTCAACCAAGCATTTTCCATATCTTTGCACATGCTGCAGTAGTCATTTACAGCTCTGTTTTGAGAGCCTTTGCATAAAAAACCCCATTGAATCTCCCCTGTTGTGGGTAGAATACAGGCTAGGACTGAGCCACCCTCCAGGTCTGTGTGGGATGGGGGACGAGTGGTGGAAACGTGCACCATGTTTACGATGCGTTTGTGCCTCGGGAGTGAGAAGACACTGGTCTCCAGCCCTGCTTGTCCACCTCCTTTCACCAGCACTCACCATCCATGTGCTGGATGCACTCCTAGCAGTTACTGACTGCCTGCTGGGGTTTCTGACAAGCCTGGATACCGAGTCGGATGC